AAAAAAAAAAAAAAATACTTTCATCACATTAACTTGTTGAAGAAACCAGACCAGTCATTCAACAGAATGTCCCACATTCTAGATTTCCCTTGTTTTCTTAGGGTGTTGTCTAACTTGTTTTTCTGTCACCCTGTCTTTTCTGAAAACTGGAATTTTAACCTAAGGTTTTATTAGCTTCACATTAAACATTTTTAGTGAAAATACATCAAAGGTGATGCTACTTGCATTATTTTTTGAGAGCCATGCTATTGTTTATATAGAGGGAAATAGGGTTAGACTTTTGGCTTTGCCATTTACCAGCTGTAGGTGTTTGAGCTACTTACTTTGTTTTCTTTGAGCTCTGGTTTCTCACCTGAAGGAAAATAATACCCACCTTGCATGGTTCTTTGGAGGATTAATGAACTAATGTTTATGAAATTACTTTAGAAAGTAATACACAGGCTGAGCACAGTGGCTCATGCCTGTAATCCCAGCACTTTGGGAGATTGCTTGAGCCTGGGAGTTCGAGACCAGCCTGGGCAACATGGTGAAATCCCATCTCTACCAAAAATAAAAATTAGCTGGGCATGATGGCACACACCTGCAGTCCCCCAGTTATTCAAGAGGCTGAGGTGGGAGGATCACCTGAGCCTGTGGTGGTTGAAGCCACAGTGAGCCAGGATCACATCACTGCACCTCATCCTAAGCAACACATCAAGACCCTGTCTCAAAAAAATAAAAACACACAAGGTAAGATTGGCAGCTATAGCAGGTAGAAGATTGTTTTGCCCAGGACTTTCTCCGTTTTAAAACTGAGAGTTCTGCATCCCAGAAAACCCCACAGTCCTGGACCAACCTAGCTAGTTGGTCACCCTACCTGCAGTAAAGGTATGGACTGTATCTAAAAGCGTGCCATGAGCTTCTCACAAGATCGCGGCTACAAATCCTTAGAGGCTGGCATTGAAAATATAGTACTGAACTGCTGCTGTGACTAGGTGGCACTGTTGCTAATGTGGAACTGTGTTTCATCTGGACAGGTGGGGATGCATTCCAAAGGAACTCAGACAGCAAAGGAAGAGATGGAAATGGATCCAAAGCCTGACTTAGATTCAGATTCCTGGTGCCTCCTGGGAACAGACTCCTGTCGACCCAGCCTCTAGTCTCCTGAGCGTATAGAGCCCCCAGGAAACTGGGACCCAAAGAACTTCACAGCACACTTACCGAATGCAGAGAGCAGCTTTCCTGGCTTTGTTCACTTGCAGACAAGGAGCACAAGGCAGAGGCTCTGAAGCACTTTCCTTGTACATTTGGAGAGTGGCATTGCCTTTTAGATAGGATCTAGGAGTGATTTTATTGTTTTGGAGAATGGAAGGGCCCCCGATGGCCCTGGCTTTGTCATCAGTGACTGCCATAGCAACAGCAGCTCTGTACCTCATCTGTTGATCCAACCTTTGAAGAGGAGACACAGTGCTCACCTTAATTATGCTGGTAGCAGCTTATATCCCATATATCATTTTCACCATTGATTGGAAGCTGCCCTGGGAATTCAGTACCAGGCATCACCCCTCTGGGTGGGAGAGGGAAAAGTGTAAAGCTGGAGCGGGCTGGAGTCAGGCGTGTCCCGCCCAGTGTCCTCTGCAGAGTGGTGAAGTAGTCTGAGCCCTCTCGGGAGCCCTGAGTCCAGGAAAATATGTCTGATGGAGTCAGTCTAGGGCTTCTTTCCATAAAGTTCAGTTACTTTGTGCAGCTAAATGCTTTATGAGGAAAAGTGGGCTTAGGTTGCTTTTCCTCTGAGGGTTGATTGAAATTTCTTGAGTGAGGAGTAGAGAAAGGGCAGGACCCTCCTCATCACACAGCTGGAGTTTAGGCTGTGGCCAGTGCAGGGTGGGATTTCCTAGCTGTGGAAGATGCCTCTGAGGGATGAGGTGTCTCAGAGAATTGAGTCCATGGGGCATTTGGAATAGCCTTAAGAGAAAATCATGAAGGAGAAGTCTTCCTTTAGCTGCCTCTACTTTGACATCTTAGAGAGGGCTTAGAGGGCTCTGAATCTTCTGCCTGTGAGAAGACTTCTTGAGCTCCTGCCTTCATGGCTCTTAGGGTTCTAATCTTGATATCAGCAGCCCCAACCACTTTGTTTCTGTATGTCTAGTCAGTATTTTTCCCATTTTGGTGTTTTATGAAGCCATATGATAACCAGTGAATCTCTATCATCTTACCTGAGTGGCCAAAGCCAGCACCAAATCCTGGAGTCCCTGAAGCCTGACAACAGGCAGAACTTGCAAAAGGAGTTTGGCTGAGAGCTCACCTCTAATCTTGTACTCATTGTATCTTTGTAGACAGGAACAAGCTAGCTTTGCCAAAGAGAAACAGTGTCCTAGAAGAACAAAACTTCTTATAGAAAGTTCTAGACAAGTATTTGGTGGTTTCCTTAAGGATGTGAGCTTTGTTTTTCCACCTAGCCTTGTAAAATGTTCCCGTAGTATTTTGTGTCAAACATCCCACCTTCCTACAAAGAGCTAAATTAATTTTGTTTCATTTTTCCCAGACCAAAATGTTTGATAATCTTTTCAACATTGTGGGAGGTCCTGTGCAATGGAAATTTTGCCATTTCCCCAAAACTGGTGGCATAAAGACTGATGCTCAGGGAGAACCCTATGGCTGGGGACAGGCAACTCTGTTCAATGGGATCTTCTTTGGTTTGATGTTTCCATTGTTTTCTCAGTTCTGGGAAGCCTAGTACATTAATACTAATATAATCACTGAAACTTTTTCTTGAAATAAGGGAAGCGGCCAAACTTTGATTAAAGTTGCAAGTTCTGGGGACTTCAGATTGCCATAAACCCTTACAATGGGTTTTGGTTCAGCATGTAAATACAACTTTGATTTTCTTAAGGACCGATTGGCCTATCATGTCCCTGTATCCTCATGCTCATCATCTCAGCAGGCCTGAGAGGCCAGGTCAGTTTGGGTGTTCATCATGAGGATTGCTTCTGCCGTGGATCTGATGGACATGGGCATGTTGCCGAGAAGGTGGGGTGAAAGTGAGCGCCGGGGGTGGGTGAGGGCCTTGCTCTTGTTCAGAGGGGAGTCTTTCCCTAGCAGTGCAATGCTGTGGTCATTTTCTCTAGCATATTCCCTTGGGAAGTCTAGATTTGCTATTAATCTGGCTGAGAATCTAAGTTCTGTGCCTTAGAGACAATTTGCACTTTCCCATATTGTGCCTGGGACAGCCGTATGACTTTTTTTTCCACCAAACAAGTATGCAGACAGAAACCAGTTCAAAGGGGGATAGAGTAAAAAATGAGGCAGTAGAAATGCCTTTGAATGGTTTTCTGTAGCTAATTCTCTCTAAATTTTGTCCTGCTTTTTTTCTTTATGCAGTGCTAGGTGTTTTTAAGTTTTCTAGTAGTATTGCTTTTGAGTTACACTATAACCTGAGTTACTCCTCTGCTCTAACATTGTTGCGGAAGAACTAGCTTATTGTTAGCCAGGTTGCTTGAAAGGTTGAGGGTGGAGTGGTTTGGCATTTCTGTTTTAAATAAACATTTAAACTCTCAATCAGTACTGTGCCTCGGTAAGTCTGTGCATGGACCTTAGTCTCTGGGGATAAAACATCCAGATTCTAGGCCTTTGTGAATCTTTGATTCTGTGAGTCTTTATATAAATAATGTTCTTGGAACAGAAACAATGTAAGGGACATTTGCACAGAAATAATCTTTGCTTCTCTCCAGTTTCTTATTCTTGCCAACAGAATCATTTCTGCTGCTACAGCTTTTTTCCCAATAAGATCTAAAAGTGCCGAAAGGACAAAGGGAGGGAAAAAATGAGCCATTAAAAGGAGGATGATCCCTTCTTGTACCTGCCTCCACCATCTCAGTGGGGGGCCTTTCCAAGTGATAATGCCAGTTGATGGTTTGTGAAACTTTTCCCTCAAAGAGACTGAACTGAATTTGGTCTCCCTGGCATAGCATAGCCAAGTTACAACTTCTCTTGGCTGAGCATTTCACTGAAGTTTAAAGCAAAAGTAGACTAAAAGTTTTCATTTCGTTTGCCATATGTTCACAAACATTCATAATAGAACAATTCAGAAGCAAGAATGCATTTTAAATAAATTCACTCAGATGAAATCCCCGAACCCCAAAAAAGTATTCATGGTTAGGGCAGAGTGGGCTGTCATCAGGACCATAAAACATTAGGGCGAAAAACTCCACTATGTCACATTTCTGTTACCTCCTGTGAAGCTGTGGAGAGTGACATATTGATAATGAAAGCAAACATTGGTTAGAAGGTGGGTGCTGTGCTGCATTACATACACTGCTGTCCAGAAATACTGTCTCAGCACATCCGCACATATTTTTCATGAAATGAGTTTTTATGTGAGTTTCCCTATGAAATTTTTCCCACGGATCAACCTTTTGAGCTTTAGAACTTAAAATGTTTACTTGCACTAAAGGTTCTTGGATAAAGTAGTAAAAAATACAGACATTAACAAGCATGCATATATTTACTGCTATCTGCTGAGCTATCCAGGAAGAGATTCAGATTTTTTTTCTTTTTTTGAGACAGTTTCGCTCTTGTTGCCCAGGCTGGAGTGCAATGGTGCCATCTTGGCTCACCGTAGTCTCCACCTCCTAGGTTCAAGCGATTCTCCTGCTTCAGCCTCCTGAGTAGCTGGGATTATAGGCATGTGTCTCCATGCCTGGTTTTTTTTGTATTTTTAGTAGAGACGGGGTTTCTCCATGTTGATCAGGCTGGTCTCAAACTCCCAACCTCAGGTGACCTGCCCGCCTTAGCCTCCCAAAGTGCTGGGATTACAGGCATGAGCTACCTCAGCTGGCCCAAGATTTACATTTTTTTTTTTAAAAAGGTCCTTACAACTTCCCAGAGACCAGATCAAGCTAAATTTAAAAGATGACAGCTATTTCTAATATAACCAAGGCCTAAACATGTAGAGATTAAAGGGAACCCTAAGGCATTGACTATTGTTTTATTTCTTTAGCAAAATGAGAGTGAATAACTGCTTCATTGTCTATAGAAAGCCCTCTCCACATATAACAACATTTGTTCTATCTGGAGGGCCCTGATCTGTGACCTTACTAACATTATCCAGGGATCCCAAATCCAAGTGCCTGTGACCAGGCAAATAAGGTAAAGAAGTGAAGTAGGCCAGGTGAGACTGGTCTGCTGCTACCATTCCCATTTGAAGGAGCATCTGATTCTAAACCCCACCCAATCTGTGCTGTACAGGTTGCTGGCCCAGTGTTTCTAGAACTTCCAGTTTTTCAAGAGATGTTCCATATCCCAAGTTTGTTTTTTGTTCGTTTTTGTTGTTGTTGTTGTTCTTTGTTTTGAGACAGAGTCTTGCTCTATTGCCCAGCCTGGAGTGCAGTGGCGCAATCTTGGCTCCTGCAACCTCCACCTCCCGGGTTCAAGCAATGTCTCAGCCTCCTGAGTAGCTGGGATTATAGGTGCACGCCACCACACCTGGCTAATTTTTGTATTTTTAGTAGAGAGGGGATTTTACCATCTTGCAAGCTGGTCTTGAACGCCTGACCTTGTGATCCACCCGCCTCAGCCTCCCAAAGTGCTGGAATTACAGGTGTGAGCTACCACGCCCAGCCCCATATCCCAGTTTTTAAATGTCAGATTATATTTTGAATGATAGGCCAGCTAAATAAAACATCTGTGGAGCAAAGCATTCCACATGTTGCCATTTTGTGACCTTGGCCACAGCTTATTCCTGCCATCTATTGCAATATACGAGTTTACATTTCCACTTATAAAGCATATATTTCATTGAACTTGCCTAGAGAATGTACATATTAGGTTTATCCAGTATCTCTGTGTGAGCTTTCCTTAAGGGGCTAAACAAAAGCTTTATTATGTGATACCTCCTTTCCTTTGAAACAATTAAAAAGAGTGCAAAGAATTAGCCGGGCGTGGTAGCACACACCTGTAATCCCAGCTACTCAGGAGGCTGAGGCAGGAGAATGGCTTGAACCTGGGAGGCGGAGGTTGCAGTGAGCCGAGATCACGCCATTGCACTCCAGCCAGGGTGACAGAGCGAGACTCTGTCTCTTAAAAACAAAAAAGTGCAAAGAAATAGGTATTTATATATAAAATCCTATATATTTAAATATATAGGATTTTTTTTCCCAGCCTATGTCCTGTAGCTTCACCACTTGAGCCTCAACTCACATTTCAAATTGGTCTATTAGCCCAGCCACTCAGCAAAAGCTGCAGAGGAAATGGAACAAGAGTAAGTGGCCATTTGTTATTTTGTAAAATAGGATTTTGTTGTCTGTCTAGCCCTGTTGCCTAGCTCAAATTGAGCAGTTTTTCTCCAGTATTTTAAACTAACAATGTGAGTAATGCAGAACAGTAATCCTAGGATTTCTATCTGTTGTGCTAACTTCACTCCTATCTGAACTGATAATACTCTCACAGACACTAACTTATCAGTTCTCTCATTTCACTAGTTTAGGTCTCGCTCATCTTTTTGTTTAATTTTAAATCTCCAGATCTCATTAATTGAGGATCTAACTTGTGCTAGGCAATATGCTACACAGAGAAAAAGATTTGATCCCTTTCCCTTCAAAGTTTACTCTCTGAAATAGAAGTTGACTATGCCACAGTTTGCAAGGGCATGTGACACTGTGCAATGTCCCAGCTTTGTTTTGTTTTGAGACGGGGTCTTGCTTTGTTGTCAAGGCTGCTCTTAAACTCCTGGCCTCAAGCAGTCCACCCACTTCAGCCTCTGAAAGTGCTAGGATTATAGGAATGAGCCACCATGCCCAGCCTGTCTCAGCTCACTTTTATGGTAGATTTTGCTGCCTCTAAACAGTCATTTAGCCCAACCGATTTGAAAGTACAGTGCGAGTAACAACTAAAATGGAGGTTTCTTTCTTTTTTAACATATGAAACCCATTAGAAAAGAACAAGTAGAGAGAAGTATGTGTCACCCCAACACCCATCCCTACCCTGTGAAATACATAAAGATCTTTCCTTTAGTACACAGTACACCACAGGGAAGGTTAGGAGACACTGGTGCCTTAACCTTACATACTTGCATTGGTTTTTGGCCAGGATCATGCACCAGGGAGACCAAGGATAGATTTTCATTAATAATGTCTTACAGGAAAATTGTATTGTCTTTTATAAGAGTTACCATCTCGGTGATCATGCCCCTCTGACACCAACACATCCTAATAACTCCAACTTCTACAAAAGCAAGAATTAACAGGAACTATGAATCTACAGGTAGCGACAAGAAGGCACAACCAGACGCAGGCACTTCACTAGCACAAACCACAAGTCAGGCATGCAAGAAGAGAGCTTTAATGGAGCCTGCTCCCAACTCTTCAGTGTCTTCACCCATCAATTCTGAGTGCAGTAACATAAAGCATACCAGCCCGAGGTTGTAATTTAGTGGGAAGCTGGGGCTTCCTTCTGCCTCCTGCTGCTTAGCAGTGGCTCTCTCCTCAGATTTTAGCTCTGCAGGCAGATCTGGGAGCTGTTTCGTTTCTTTCTGTTTTGTATCAAATTCTACTCCCAATTACTCCTGAAGAAAAGCAGAGCTTTCTGAACTATCCAAAAGTTTCCACTGTTGTCTGCTCAACTATAATGCTTCCTTGGAGGTGGAGGGCGGTTCTTGATGGTCTTACACTTGGGAATGTGTTGCTCAGCCACCTTGGGAGCAAAGTGGCGGCTACAGTGAGGACACTGAATGTAGTCTGGGTTTTCTGAAGGCAGGATGGGAGGCAAGTCTGAAGGGTTTCCACCTTTGGCAATTACCTGCTGGACCTCTCGAGCCTGGCGGAGGGTACGGATAAAATATTCGTGCTTCTGTCTCCAGTTGCTCTTCCGAGGAGGTTCAGCCTGTAATGTAAAAGGGATACTGATCTTTCAACTTGGCACTTGCCTCCTTACTGAGTCCCCATTAGAATAACAGTAAGAAAATGAAAAGGGTACTAATCTGTAAGGTCAAAGAGAACAGGAAAGGAGCAACAGTGGTAACTGACTTGCCAGAGTTGAGGCAAACCAAGGGCCTGCAAAGGGGGTACTGCTGAGAGGCAAGCTGCTTTCCCAGCAGAACCCCAGAGAGTTTCAGTGCTTGGAAGTACCAGATAGTGGAAAGTAAGGAGGTACAGGACTGAAAACAGGCAGGACCCCACAGCTTCTCCCACCTTGCATATCCAACTGTCCCAACACCCAAGCACACTTACAGAAGAACAAGGATTTATTCTCTGGAGAAATTGAACCAGACAAATTTCTGACTCAGGAAATCCAGATAAGTGAAACTTGGGGGTTAATCAGGGGGCTGAAAATGGGGATTAAGTACAAGCGTACATACCAAATTATGGAACTGGCAGCCCCCTTCTCCCGCTCAGCCCCCAGAGTACCAAGCATATTGGCATCCTCTTAGGAAAAAGAGGGCTTCTTTGGATACATGGAGCAATCTAGAGAAAAGCCTTCAGATACCTTGGAGAACCCTAATTAAAAGGCTCACTATTTAGTAACCTTAATATGAAGGTCCTTAGTCAAGAAGCCCCACTTAAGCT